TATATATATTTTTTTTTTTTTGTGATAATATGGTAATGCACTATTGTGAGTTTCTTTATTTTTGAGGTTCTTCACAACAATCAACACTGCAAGAAATATATATATTTTTTATTTATTTTTATTTTTTCTTCTTTATTGAGACACTGGACTTTATATTATTGGATTTTAAATCACAGAGACACTGGACTTTATGATTTTGTAGAAATTATATGGGGAATATTTTGTTGTTACACAATTAGTTGGATTATTTATTGAAAGAGGGTAGATTCATGTTTGGATCTATTGATTTGAGTTTAAGCTTTCAGGGGGTTGAAAGTTTTTTCCAATTTGGAATTAGTGTAGGTGAAAGGGTGTTTTCTGTTTTCACATTATACTTATATCATTTTCACATTATATTTATAAACTTGTGCAGAGTTTGCTTACAACAATTCTGTCCATGCATCTACTAACCAGTTTCCTTTCTGAGTAAACTATGAGTTTCACCTTCCTTTTTTCCATATGTTATCCCAGAAGCATCAGTACCTGCAGTCCAGGATAGACTGACTTTCATCCAATCTAATTATTAGATACTCTGGAAGACCATGCAAAAAGCTCAGGAGGATTACAGGAGACATTTTGATAAAAGGAGAAGAGGTAATGCTGTGTTGAAGGTCTGGCTTCCTACAGCAAACCTCAAACTTGCCTGTCTCTCACAGAGATTAGGTGCCTTTAGAATTAAGAAAGAGATTAATCCTGTGGCTATTTAACCATTTCAATACCGGGCAATTTTACACCTTCCTGCCCAGGCCAGTTTTCAGGTTTCAGCGCTCTCACACTTTGAATGACAATTGCGCAGCCATACAACACTGTACCCAAACTAAAATTTTATCATTTTCTTCACACAACTAGAGCTTTCTTTCGGTGGTATTTAATCACCGCTGGGGTTTTTATTTTTTGCTAAATTAACAAAAAAAGGCCAAAAATGTTGAAAAAAAAATACACGTTTTTCTTTGTTTCCGTTATAAAAATTTGCAAATAAATAATTGTTCTTCATAAATTTAGGCCGAGATGTATTCTGCTACATGTCTTTGGTGAAAATAACCCAAATTAGGATGTATTATTTAGTTTGTAGGAAAGTTATAGAGTTCACAAACTATGGTATAGATCTGATTATTGATCAATCCTGAAGTACTGACGGCCAATCTAATCTCTTGAGGTCTAAGAATGTCAGAATAGTACAGATATCCCCCAAATGACCCCTTTTTGCAGAGTAGACAGTTCGACGTACTTCATAAGAGACATGGCGAGTTTTTTGAAGTTGTATTTTTTTTGTCATAATTTTTCAGAAAATGAAAAAATTAAAAAAATTATTTTCACTATTTTTTTTTTACATACTGTCACCAGTGCAGTACAGTGTCATCATATAACTGGCATGGCGGTGAACAGGGACACTGACTGGTGACAATATGAAAAAAAATATATATATATTTTTTTTTTTTATTATTTTTAATTTTTTATTTTTTTTTTATTTTTTTTTTAACATTTTTTTTTTCATATTTTACTATGACCAAAGTAGTACAATGTTACCATAGTAACATTGTACTACTTTGGGGAAGTGATCAGTATTTTTTTTTTTTTTTTACACAATTTGCTTATAGCAAAGAATTACTTTGCTATAAGCAAGCATTTAACTGAATGAAATCGATTCATTCAGCTTTTTTTTTTTTTTTTTTGTGCTTAGCTGTGATTTGGTCACAGCTAATCACATGACATGTGCATGTGATTAGCTGTGACCATTCACAGCTAGGCACTAGTATACAATGGATGGCATCATGAATGAAGCCATCCATTGTATACAACTGTCATGTGACCTGCTGTGATTGGTCACAGCAGGTCACATGGTACCTGCAACGGAGCCGGTACTCGGATCTGTCATCGGCCGTGTCCGAGGTACACGCCCAGTGACAGATCGAGCCGCTGCGCTGCTCTGCATTAACGCAAACGGCGCATGTGCGGGAGCACGCCAAATGGCGTGCACCCGGAGTGGAGAAGCAACTTTCAAGCCGCCAAACGGCCATTGGCCGGGCGGCAAATGGTTAACTGAACTTGCATGAATTTTATAAGATTCATCCAGTCTTTTAAAAGAACTGCAGCTCCTCACAATAATTGCTGGATTATCATCAGCCTCCTGTTCCTGTGTGAGTTACCTTTCTGATTACCCGTTACTGACCCGGCTTGACCCTGACCTGCTCTGGCTTCTCTTCTTGTTCTTACCCTGGCTTGTTTCTTGGATCTGCTCCTGCCTATTCCTGATCGATGACTTGTGCATAACCCTGGCTTGCTCCTGAATACACTCCTGTCTCCACTCCTGATTGATGCTCTGTGTTTGACTCCTGGCTCTGGCTTCTGACTTTGCTTCCTGCCCCACCCATCTGTCAAGATCTGACAATCTTCTAGAGAGTCCGCTCCTGTATGCTCTCTACCCACGGGTGTCCTCTCATCGGATATTACCATGCAACTACATCATTGGCAACCCATGTTATTTGGGCACTACACCTTCTGTTACCACCTTCAGGGGTGCTTTGCACTTAGCCGTAAGGGGAGCCCTCTTGTCACCTCACCCAGTCAGGTACGTGACAATCCAGTTGCAAGTGCGACCTTTGCAGCCAAGGTAGTTCCATCACTGGTCGCAAAAAAACTGCCTATATGGGTAAGGAGTGTTTGTAGATAAAACAAACTGTACAGCTCTGACTAAAGTTAAATAATGTCTTTGCTATAGGAAAAGACTGTCTTAATGTGTGGCCCAGGGGCCCCATGATTTTCTTGCATTACATCATATTTGCTAACTGTCCTGGATTTGCTGGGACAGTCACAATTTTTTACTAAGCTGTCCCAGGATGACCCAGGCAGTGTCTCACTGTGTACTGTGCCCTCCTGATCCCAGTATTATCCCCTTCTCCCCCCCTGTACTGTGCCCTTTGTGTTAATTAGTCTTATTATTGAGTTATTGCATTTTTTCTTGTTGCTTCAAATTGATTTTATTGATATAGTACTAATAAATATGTTTAATTCTTAATTCTATCAGCTATTTATACTTGGTAGGGGCCCCAGAGCATTACTTTGCCCAGGGGGCCAATGATGCTATTAAGACAGCCCTGGCTATAGGTGTAGACCATTTAAGCACCTCCAGAAGCCTGATTGGAATACTCCCAGTGAGTTGCTAGTTAGGTGAAGGCTAGTCATTACTACTCATCTTTACCATCACAGGAGTGAGCTTTTTCTCTGATTAGAAGCCCCCCACATTCGCTTTCTCTCCCCTGATACAGTTGCTCTGAGCTCAGCATTTGAGAGCTTACTTCTGTGACGGAGGAGGTAGACAGTAATGACCAGCAGCCAGGTGCACAGTCTTGGTCACTCTTCTGGCTCAATGAGAAGTCTAGGGGTATCCTTTTGTGATGCTTTATTATAAATTTAACTTGGACAAGGTGCAATACTCCAGTAACACTTAGTTGTACTGGGCCCTGTGATTTCTAACAGCAGCTCTGCAAAATAATGCAAAGAAAGTATATAGGTAGTAGAATAAATATAAAATAGCTGTGTACATTTTTTGTTTTACCTAAGACAAAAATAAATATAATTAAATTAAAAATTATGTTTCCCATTGAGAGCTGCTTGTTCTGTGAAGTCACATCGTTGAGATGTCTTCCTAATCCTGTGAACATTCTACTTTTGTACATGCCTGTTGCCATCCAGGTTGCCAACACAAAGTGGAAACAGTAGGCTCTCAGCTCTGGTTTCCTTTTTGTGTTATTTTTTATCACAGCATACACATAGTACAAGATGAAGTGGTGAGCAGGCTGGGTGTCGTTGACATGTAATGTGAAAGTGAGAGAAATTCTGAGAACTAAAAGCCATTTCCCAGCACTGAGCAGAGTCGCAGACATATCACAGCGAAGGCTTCAGAGAAGAGATGATAACCCTACTGAATACCTAGAGAGAGGGAGACAACAACCTCAGATGGAGAGTCCACAGGAACAACTTACATGGTAAGTAGGGATGAGAAAAAAAAATGTACAAACTGCCCCAACCTATAACTGACCTTTGCAGCAAGGAACACAAGGAAGAGATCCCACGACCTTCTGTTTCCTATAGCCAGGTGCACACAACTTCTGCTTGTTGTTCCAAATTTTGTTAATTTGTTACAAGTGATGGTGGCAATCAGTGACTTATAGCAGGACTGTGGAAGACATTCTGACACTGGGGGGAACTGACTTGGTGTCACTGACATCCCAGTGAGACAAATACAATGTTCAGTGCTAAAAAAAGCACTGACACTGTACAAATGGCACTGGGCAGGAAGGGGTTAACATGTGGGGCAATCAAAGGGTTACCTGTGCGCTGGGAGTGTTTTACTAGGGGGGGGGGGGGTGTGTGCTTCATTGTAAGCACACTGTTCTGGATGGCTGTGCTGTGCACAGCCATCCAGAGCAGTGTGCCCAAGCTAACAAGGAGGACTGTTAGTAAACAAAACAGTCCTCCTCCCCGTCGGTGATCACGAAAATCTACGGGCGCCAACTAGTAATTACCTTCCGGGGCCGGTGATTGACAGCACGTGCCCCCTACCCAGAGATGCAAAATCATGTGTATATATGTGATTTTGCACACCAGTGCCATCCTGTAGCAGTATTTCTGCTATAGGGCGGTTGGGAAGTGATTAAAGTGGTTCTAAAGGCTCAAGGGTTTTTTTTTTACTTTCATGGATACCACCAAATAACAACCCAAAATAAATTCTCATGTTCCTGGCGATCGCAGTAATACCACATACTCTAAATTGCCAAAAGTATAGGGCCAGCCCTCCAAATCATTGGATTCAGATGTTCAAAACACATCCATGGACACAGGTGTATACAATCAAGCCCCTAGGCATGCAGACTGCTTCTACAAACATTGGTGAAAGAATGGGTCGCTCTCAGGAGCTCAGTGACTCCAAGTGTGGCACCGTGATAGGTTGTCACCTGTGCAAGAAGTCCATCCGTGACATTTCCTGGCTACTAAATATTCTCAACTGTTAGTGGGATTATAACAAAGTGGAAGTAACTGGGAACAACAGCCACTCAGCCACCAAGTGGTAGGCCACGTCACATGACTGGGCGGGGTCAGCGCATGCTGAAGCGGACAGTGCGCAGAAGTTACCAACTGTCTGCAGAGTCAATAGCTAAAGACCTCCAAACTTGGTGTGGCCTTCAGATGAGCCCAACAACTGAGCGTAGAGAGCTTCATGGAATGGAATGGGTTTCCATGGCCGAGCAGCTGCATCCAAGCCTTACATTACCAAATGCAATGCAAAGTGCAAAAGAAAATATATAGTTTAATTCATGGGAGTGGAAATATGAAGGAAGTGGAAATGAATTATAAGTGTTTAGTAAGATGGTATATTACACCAAATGTAGCGCACAGAATAAGTGGAGACAACTCACCTTTATGTTGGCAGGGATGTGGAGAGAGAGGTACAATGATACACTTATAGTGGAAGTGTCATAAAATTCAAAAATACTGGGTGGATATAGTGAGTATAATTCAGGAAAAACAGAGGTAAATATTCCTAAGGACCCTCAGACTTGCCTTCTTTTGGGTACAGAGTTCTCGCTTAAAAAAACTGGATTATTGCGAAGGGACTGATATCCAAGTATTGGAGGAAACAAAAGGCACCAAAAATAAAGGATTGGGTAGAAAGAGTGGAGAAGATATATAGGGTTGAGGAACTTTGCCATCTGGTGGAAGATAAAATGGAGGTCTTTAGTACAAGATGGGAAAAGTGGGTACAATTTAAAAAGTCAGATGCATACCCAGAATATGTGAAATAAGGAAAAGAAGTGAAAGGGGATAAATATCAGTATTAATCAAGGAACAGAATTTTTAGAATGAAGTTAAAAGTGCATAATCAAAGGGTAGTAGGGAGGGGGGAATAGGAAAGGGGTGGGGTAAAAGGTCACCAAGATTAAGGACATTTGCGGGGAATGTTATGATAGATAGGTGGAATGTAATTTTTCCGTTTTATTGGCTTTTGTATATTTAAAATGGTGATGAGAAAAAATTAATAAAACATTTAAATAATAAAAAAATAACAAAGTGGAAGCAACTGGGAACAACAGCCACTCATCCACCAAGTGGTAGGCCACGTCACATGACAGGGCGGGGTCAGTGCATGCTGAAGCGCACAGTGCGCAGAAGTCACCAACTGTCTGCAGAGTCAATAGCTAAATACCTCCAAACTTGGTGTGAACTTCAGATGAGCACAACAACAGTGCGTAGAAAGCTTCATGGAATGAGTTTCCATGGCTGAGCAGCTGCATCCAAGCCTTACATCATCAAGTGCAATGAAAAGCATCAGATGCAGTGGTGTAAAGCATGTTGCCACTGGACTCTAGAGCAGTAGAGATGAGTTCTCTGGAGTGACCAATCACGCTTCTCTGTCTGGAAATCCAATGGACATGTCTGGGTTTGGCTGTTGTCAGGAGAACAGTACTTGCCTGACTGCATTGTGCCAAGTGTAAAGTTTGGTGGATGGGGGGTTATGGTGTGGGGTTGTTTTTCAGAGGTTGGACTTTGTCCCTTAGTTCCAGGGAAGGGAACTCTAAGGGCTCGTTCACACTTGACCTTTTTTCCAACTCTTGCCAAACGCCCCTATAGAGTTTGACAAGCATTGGTTCGGCGTTTGCAGAGCGTTTTTAACACTCTGCAAACACTCCGCAAATGGCGCATGCACGGTTTAGAGGTGGTTGCTAGGAATTTGCCAAGTGTTAAAAATGCCCCACAAATGCCTATAATGAAGTTTGAATGGTGTTAACGCTCCGCAAACGCCTCGCAACCCCACTGCAAACGCCGGCTGGGCATTTGCGGAGCGGCACCATAGACTTGAATAGGAGGCTTCAACTCCTCCTGACTCAACCAGAGGCATCCGTTTTGACGTGACGCTAACACTCCCATTTGAACAGCACTATGTGCTGCAATGTGCAGAATTTTCTGAGGCGTTTGTCCATAAAGACATGGGGGAGCCATTTGGGGTGGAGGAACTTGACTGTCCTGCACAGGGTTTGGGCTTGGCCCCTTAGTTCCAGTGAAGGGATCTCATAAGACATCAGCATACCAAGACATTTTGGCCAATTTCGTTCTCCCAGCTTTGTGGGGAGAGTTTGGGGATGGCCCCTTCCTGTTCCAACACACCAGTGCACAAAGCAAGGTCCATAAAGACATGGAGGAGCCAGTTTGGGGTGGAGGAACTTGACTGGCCTGCACAGAGTCCTGACTTCAACCCCATAGAACACCTTTGGGATGAATTAGAGCAGAGACTGCGAGCCAGGCCTCCTCCCCCGACATCAGTGCCTGACCTGACAAATGTGCTTCTGGAAGAATGGTCCAACCTTCCTATAGACACCCTCCTAAACCTTGTGGACGGCCTTCCCAGAAGAGTTGAAGCTGTTATAGCTGCAAAGGGCGGGGCCAACTCAATATTGAACCCTACGGACTAAGACTGGAATGGCATTAAAGTTTATGTGCGGGGGAAGGCCGGTGTCCCAATACTTTTGGCAATATAGTGTATGTGTATATTTGTTCTTTGTACCTGTAGTATAGCCCAGAAACAATAATGCACATTTTGCTTTTTTATCCCGCTTAAAACACACTAACTGACACTGATGCTAACTTACAAAAATACTTTTTAAAACAAAAACTCTGCCCCAAAAAATACTGACCATGACCTTTTGACCACTACCTTTGACCCTGACCTTTGGCGCTTACTTGACTCAAACACTAACCCTAGCACTGACCTAGATCAAACCTTGATCTAGCTATTTTTTCTTTTCTTTTTTTTCTTTTACACACATTCGTTTATTTACAGCTTCTCCTTGCAAGGAGAGTGAGATACAATGTATTATATAATATATTCTGTAGGCATACAATGTATCTCCTTCTCCATTCAGAGACAAAGTAAACACATGGGCAGGCTGCACAGTGACTGATCACTGTGGTAACCAATCATCATTTCCCATCCCCTTGCACCCTTTTGCCTCCAAACTCCTTGAACGTCTAGTCTACTGCCGGCTGAGCTGCCACCTTAGTGAGAATAACCTTCTCGATCCCCTTCAGTCTGGTTTTTGCCCACAACACTCCACAGAAACTGCTCTCCTAAAACTCACAAATGACTTACTAACCGCTAAAACCAATGGCCACTATTCCATACTCTTACTCTTGGACCTCTCTACTGCCTTTGACACAGTTGACCACCTCCTCCTCCTCCTCCTCAACAAACTCTATCTACTTGGTCTCCGTGACTGTACTCTCTCTCTTGGTCCGAATCTTACCTATCTCACCGCACCTTCAGTTTCACTTACAACTCTACTTCCTCCTCTCCTACTCCTCTTACTGTCGGGGTCCTCCAAGGTTCTGTTCTTGGACCTCTCCTATTCTCATTCTACACTTGTTCCTTGGGTCAGCTGATAGCTTCCCATGGCTTCCATTATACCATTTTTAGTGCTGATGACACACAAATCTATCTCTCTACTCCTCAGCTCACCCCATCCGTTTCCTCATGTATCCCAATTTACTAACAGACATATCAGACTGGATGTCACACCACTTCTTAAAACTCAATCTATCCAAAACTGAGCTCATCCTCCCTCATGTGCATCTTCCCCTGATTTCTCGGTCAGGATCAATAGCACCACTATCAACCCATCCCTGCATGTCAGGGTGCTAGGGAGAACCCTGGATTCTGAACTATTCTTTCAGGCCCACATCCAAACCCTGTCCAAATCATGCCGCCTCAACCTCCACAATATCTCCAGAATACGCCCCTTTTTCTTGTTCAAACATTTTGATTAACAAAAGAGAAAACTTTAACAAACACAATCAAGGAGACATTGTTGATATACAGTGGACATTGAAGAGGCAGTAGGACATTGAAGAAAAATGAATGAGGATCACATTACAGATGTCTATACAATTCAAGCAAAAGCAGGAACATAAGAGTCGGCAACAGATGACATTAACGTCCCAACCAATCCAAGTAACGTCTCCTAAGTGCATTTAATAAGCAGGGGGAAGTTTGGGGGGATCAGACGGGAGAGGAAGGGAGGGTATGGGAAAAAGAACAATAACGATGACTCCATGAACAATCAACTAGTTTACAGCAGACTCCACGAGTTGCCCACGAAGGGCTATTGACAGTATCCTGGACGCACAGTATAGAAATCAAGGGAGAAGGAGTGATTCATCAAAGTTAGGCGGGAGGAAGCGCTCTACCCAGGGGTTCCATATGTGCAAAAATTTAGGGATCGTGTCAAGAATTGTGGCTTCCACCTTTGCATGTATCATGGCTTGTGTTATTCTGGTTTTGACGGCAGCAACACTAAGGGTGGGGATTTCCAGGATTTCGCTATAACCTGCTTAGCCGCTGTTGTAACTTGCATAAGGAGCTTAAATTGCGAGTTGGAGACACCAGGGGGGCACTGATTGAGTAGGGCTGTTGTTGGATCAGGTCTTAGAGTGATAGCGCTAAGTATAGATAGCATGGTGAAAATTTCACCCCAAAAGACCCGGGCCACTGAGCATTCCCACCACATATGGTAATGTGTCCCTAAGTCTGTACAGCCTCTAAAAGAGTTGGGCGAGTAATTAGGGGTAAATTTTGCGATTCTCGCTGGGACCAAGTACCAGCGGATTAAAACTTTATAATTCGTTTCCCAATGCTACAATGTTCTGCGAAGATGATTTTGTGTTAGCCCAAATGTGATCCCAGTCAGACGGGTCGAGTTTCTTGCCCAAATCCACTTCCCACTTATGGGTATACAGAGGGGGGGTCGTGGTAATCGAAGTAGTGAAGAGTGAATATAAGCAAGAAATAAGCCCTTGTCTATGGGGGTCTTTGTAGCACGCTCGTTCGAAGAAAGACATAGCATCTGGCCGATATGTTGTTGTAGCGTAGGGAGCATAAAAGTGTTGTAGCTGTAAGTATCGGAATATCTCGGAAGCTGGGAGGCTATGTGTTTCCCGCAGCAAGGCAAAGGTTTTAAACTTATTCCTCTGTAGGAAATGATGCGTGCGGAGCAAATTAGAAGAGGACCAGGCTTTGAATAGAAGGGGCGTCTGCCAGGCCGGGGGAAAAGCTGGGTTTCGTAAAAACGAGAACAGAGGATTATGTAGCGATTGGAGGGGATATCAGGTTTTCAGTTTATCCCATAGGAATAAAAAGTGAGAAGTGATGGGGTTGGTTATAGAACGGCGGTCAATAGGCCTCAACCAGAGTAAGTTAGCTGTAGATAAGGGGTCACATTCTATCGATTCAAGTGCAACCCATTGAGGGATTTCAAAGGTTGCATGGTACATAGGTAATTGGGCTAAATGCGCTGCTTGATAGTATTTGCTGATGTCAGGTAGGCCTAGACCACCATTGAGCTTAGGACGGGTATAGGGTGGAGCGAGGGTATACGAGGACGAGTATTACCCCATACATAGGAAAAAATGTGACGCTGCAGTGTGCGGAGGTAATGAGGGGGCACTGGGACTGGAAGGACTCTAAACAGATATAGAATTTTTGGGAGGATTGACATCTTGATAACTGCTATTCTGCCTAGCCATGCGAGGGGTAAGGAAGACCATTTGGTCAAAAGGGCAGAAAGATGGTTTAGCATCGGAAGATAGTTAGCTGCGTAAAGGTCTGATAACTTAGGGGTCAGTTTAATACCCAAGAACGGGATATGACAGCGCGACCAAGGAAATGGTAGAATCTGCTTTAGGTGCGTCAACTCTAAAGGGGGGAGAGAGATGTTGAGTGCTGTTGATTTATTAGGGTTTATTAGCAAACCAGAGAGCGAGCCAAACGCCTCGAGAAGCCGGAGTAGAGAAGGAGTGGAAGTCAATGGGGACGAGAGAAAGAGCAAGACGTCATCCGCGAAGAGACATAACTTTATGATGTGTGCCTCCTATCTCAAGTCCCCTGATATCCGGGTTAGCTCTAATTAAGAGGGCCAGAGGCTCTATAGCCAGGGCAAAGAGCAAAGGGGACAGAGGGCAGCCTTGTCTCGTGCCTCTGGAGATCGGGAACTGAGCCGACCTGTGTCCCAGATACCTAATTCTCTGGCCGAGGGCTCTCGATATAACGAGAAGATCCAGGTTAAGAAATGTGGGCCAAAACCCCAACGACGCAATATATAGCTGAGATATGGCCATGAGACTGTATCAAATGCTTTCCGGATATCTAGGGACAGGAAACAGGCGGGAATATTGCGAGACCTAGCTAAGTTAGCCAAAAGAGATGCACGTCTGGTGTTATCTCCCGCTTGCCTAGTTGGGATAAAGCCCACTTGGTCGTTAAGAATTAGAGAGCCAATACATAGGTTAAGACGTGA